GACGGTGGGATTATTAAGAACTTCATCGATAGGATCATCATCATCAAAAACAATATTATGTTCACCTTTCAAATGGAAACTCAGACGTTGCACAGAAGGTTTTTTGTACTGCAGTTCATAACCCAATAGCCTCCACGCCGCCTCGCAAGAAGACACATACCGACAGTCATAGAACATGTTGATCTCGTCAACAGGTTTTTCTATCTCTCCATACGCAGTCGTCTGATAGAATGATGAGGTGACACGATCATGACCTTTATTAACGTACTTGAAAAGGTACTTTATGGATCGCGATTGATTACACCACTCGACGTTAATATGCGCTCCATATTTCATCAACAATTTGCGATTGTGAGGCACGACATAACCATTATGGACAACGACCCCATTTTTTTCAATATGCCTTCCATCGTCTCGACGTCTGTATCGTGGATAACCTTCATGGTCGACAGTGGTTAAATCGACAAACTTTTTTGGAAACCGTTTACTACATTTGCCATCCACCATGCACGGAGACGATTTTCTAGCCAAACCACAAGGTCCGTGGATCATGTGCTCTTTTACTGCCTCATAATACAACGGATCCGACGTCTCATCAGGTATCTCCGCAGATATTACTCTGTTAATGTCTGACGGATTTGGGAATTTATTTTCTTTGGCGAGAAATAGTAGTATATGAGCATGCGGCAATCCACGCTTCTGAAATTCAGTGGTGTAGACAACTACAAAAACACAAAAGAAGATAAAACAATTAGAACAATTTTTAAAATGGTGTTAGACATCACGATGGACATATATACAACCGTTTTTTTCTTCTTAAAATAATACCTGCTACGACTTTCCCGAAAATTTGCTTTTTACGAAAATCCCTGATTAATTCCTTCAATTTTGATTTGAAAACCCTACATATAATATCGGGGCGATCCTCAGGTCACAGTCTCTTTGGTTCCAAAAAACGAACAATCTCAGGCCATTTTGGATTGCATATTTGCATGTGAATGTTACAAACAAATCGGGATAACCTGCCCAACCACAAATTGCCATTGCATCCTGATAGTTTTGAATCATGTTTCGAGGTCCCCCAGTGAATGAAGAAGGAAGTATAATTCTTTTTCCTCTAGAGCTTGGATCGACATCGCCCTGGAGAACTGCATCCGTTCATCTATTATACATATCACATCGGAGTCGACTCTGATTGAATCGTATACACCGCAACCTCGATGATTCAACCATGGTATATGCATCAACGACAAACTGCTGAAACAATCTTCTCGCTGAAAGAATAGTAGATGGTTCGTGTTTCCGATCATGGATCCGGTACGCAAAGTATTCTCGGACACTCACTGTTTTTCGACCACGCTCTTTTTCAACTTTTCGATTTGAAAATGGAATGTCTTCTCTATAGCCATCCTCACCGTAGGGCAAAAGAAGGGGATATTGTAAAGCCAGATATGAAGCATTAAGCTCATTTATTCGCTGTAGTCGCCCACTCTTGGTTTCAACCAATATATCTCGCTCACCCATAGCCTGATCAAAATCTCCAACGACCAAAACAGCAACTTCAGAACTCGTAGGCAAGTTATAACGTCTGGCATCATTAAATCTCCTTCCAATTAAACGAATCCTGACATTAGATTCACCATGATCTTGAATTCTTTCTCTAGCCAAACGAAATGATTTCACAAGTTCGTTGTGCTCATCCAACATGGTCGTCAATCCAGAAATAATTTCTCCATTCAAATCAGTAGCACCGTCAACATTTCTGAAAAATGAAAAAATGTTAATAAGGCAATCAAATAAAATATTATAAAAGAAAAATAATAAAAAACTCGATTAAGGATATTATTTAAATACTGACCTCACGGCATTCATTCTATTCGTTACTTCATTATCAGTGTCATATATATAGAGCTGTGCAAATTTTGGAGTTGAACCTTCAGAAGGAAGTAAACTACCCATGAGATGGTAGTTTTGCCCGTGCAAACTAAAAACGGGTGGTCCCGATCCTTTGTTGATGTCGGTATTGATCTTGCCTCCCAGAGAAGTAAACCCGAACATGTTGTTGTAGGATCTAATGTTTTCTTGAAAGTGTTTGCTAACGCGGCTATCTCCATGTAGCAGTTCACTCAAAAATTGTGGCGGATTATGTAGAACAGGTAGTTCAATCGTACCATCACACAACAACCACCGTACTTGGTAACGGCAGACGTTCTCTCAGAAGTCTTTCTCTCGGCATACCAAAACATTGCTCCACAGTACACGCATTCGACATTGGCATCACCCATGTCCCAGTACTCTGCAATTGTTTTGATGAAAAATATTATAATATTATATAATAAAATCAATTTACAAAATTTGTCATAAAATAAAAATTTAAATTATAACCAACCAGATCGTGTAGAAGTGCTCGCCAACACTTTTTTAGGTCGACCAGGTTTTTTCTTTTGATTTGTAGGTGGCACTTGATCAAGCAAATCAACACCTACAATAATATAAACATAATCAATTCAAAACTGAACACTAAATATAATTATATAATTCACTAATAAAATAATAATATTCATAAACATACCATTTTGTGTGGACGTGCTTCCAATTATTTTTTTTGGTCGTCCACGTTTTCTGTTGAGAGACGTAAGTGGTACTTGATCGTCAGCCGTGTGATCCAATATCTCACTCGAGATAGTTGGGTATGGCGTTGGATTGACAGTTATTTTTTCAAGGTCTAAAAAACGTAAATAATTTACAAATAAATGTTAAAAAAAATAAATCATAAATATAATACAATAAGTGATAAGTCAATTATTTAAATAAGAACATACAGGTTTGTGTGGACATACTTCCTATAACCTTTTTAGGTCGACCACGCTTTCTTTTAAGTTCCGTAAGTGGTAATTGACCGTCAGCAGTGTGATCCAATAAGACACTCGATATATTCGTGTACGGAGTTGGAGTGACAGTTATGTTTTCAAGTTCTAGAAAACGTAAACAATTAAAATATATTTACTTAAAAATTTTATACTGAAATATCATGCAATAAGTGATAAATTAAGCTGTTAAATAACAACATACCAGTTGATGTGGACGTATTTCCTATAATCTTTTTAGGCCGACCACGTTTTCTTTTTAGAGTCGTAACTGGTACTTGATCGTCGGCACGATGATGGAATATCTCACTTGAAATAGTAGTGTTTGGAGTGGCGGTTATTTTTTCAATATCTGGAAAATGTAGATAAGTACAAAATAAATAATTAAAAAAAAAAATCAAATTGAAATATAATATGAACATTTGTGCGTTTGTTATATAAATTATCTATCGTTTCGACCAAAAAAAAAATAAGAACATACCAGTTTTTGCGGACGTATTTCCTAAAATATTTTTAGGTCGACCACGGTTTTTTTTAATAGTTTTATGTGATACTTGATTGATAGGTGCCACATGATAATCCTCATTAAGATCAATAACCCCTGCATGCGAAAAAATATCTACAATAATCAAAATATAATATTCATTGAAATGTATTAATTCATAAAATAATATTCCATATAGATTTTTTTGTTTTTACAAAAAATACACCCAAATAGAATTATATTCACCTTCTGGTTGCTTGAATATATTATTAGAATTATAATTAGAATTTGAAGAAAGAAGCAAACCGTCATCACTATCATCACTGGTAAGATCAATGAACTGTGACGGTCCAACATTTTCTGCAAACAATTATAATCACAAACACACACATCACACTTGTATTATAAAAAACTACAGAATAAAATTAAACATATATAATGTAATTTGATACAAAAATAAGTGTCTCACCAGATGCAATAATTTTGGATGTTGAATTTAATGGAGTAAATATCGAGGTTGTTTCGAATACTACATAGGAAAAATATTTTAACTATATATATTATTTATATGCATGTAAATAAATAAATAAATTTTCTAAAAATATAATTTAAAAAAATTTACCATTGGTAATGTTTGATAATGGTAAACTTTGAGAAGTATGCAACAAACTTCGCCATTGATATGAAACCTTGCCGGAATTATTGTTGTTTTCAATCGGAATAAAAGAAGATCCAGTAATAGGAGAAGGTGTAGCATATCCTGTAGAAATAGAATGGAATATTAAGGATACACAAAAAAATCAGTAAATTAAAAAAAATCATATAGTATTAAAACAAAAATTAAATATATAAATGTATAAAATAAAAAACAAAATAATTAAATGTGACAAAAAATTATTATGAGATTTTGTGTTTTGCTTATATAAAAATAATAATAATTTAATATAATTTCTTATATTGGATTAAGAACAATATATCAACAATTAGTCTTAAAAAACAATTAATGTAATTTCTAATTTCTTATAATAAATAAATGAGATGAATTGGCCAATTATATTAATTTAAATCTATCGAACACAAATTTAGCCCAAATTAAAAGACATATTTGCGGGCCAAGATTAAAAATTAAAATAGCCCAAATATGTAAGTAACAATAAATAGCCCAATGACCAACATATCCCATACCAAACTCTTCAAAAAAATATTATAAAATTGGAATTTTATAATATATATTTTTGTGAAACATAAAAAGTTATAATAATTAATTAATAGATCATTATAATACCTAAAATTATTTTGGCCCAAAATTGTATTTAATCAATCAACCATTATTTTTGTGCTTAATACTAAAATCAATTATATTACATGTGGGCCAAATATTTTTAATCAATTAAGCCTAAAATATAATTAACCATTTTCGGGCCCAAATCAGTTGTAATTTTTGTAAGCCCAGTTGTTGGGCCCAACTCAAATAAATGTAGGGAATATGCTGAATCAAATCGAACGGCTATAATCTGGCCATAAAAATCGAATGGCTGAAATTAACCGAAAAATGGTATAAAAGAAGAGAAAACCCGATAGGGTTTGCATTTGTCCTCAGATTTCTCCGCCGCTTCGTTTTGATTTCTCTCTCTCTCTCGATAGTTCTTGCGAAAAGAAAGGAACTTCAATAAAATTCGTCCGATCTTCAAGGATTTTTGTCTGATTCTTGTTGTTTATTCACTGAGGTTTCTAATTTTGTAAAATCGAGCACATCGATTTCCTTTTTCACGATTTTTTTTTCATTTATCGAAAAATTGTGAAAATTGAAATCTGTATCGATCTTTACTTCGATCACTGCCGATAAATCGACGATGTTGAAATCAAAAATTGTTTAACAGCTGAGAAAGGTAACAACAACAGTCACTTTTTCTTTTAATATGTATTTTGATTTTAATACAAACGCTATGTTCTATTGTGAAATTGATGTTGTTTGCTACATATTTATGTCAAGACAACACCAGATCTATGTTTTCCTTTTAATTTGCTATCTCTATGTGATCGAATTGAAGTGTTATGTGCGAATCTGTTCAGATTTTTTCACTCTTGTTCAGTGAGCCTTCTAATTCTGAAATGATCGAGCAAATCGATTTCCTTTTTCACAATAGGTTTTTTGATTTTTCAAAAGATAAGTGAAAACTGACATCACTATCATTTCTTACTTCCAATCACTTCGATTACATGAAAATCGAAGATTTGTTTAAACGCATGTGCGAAAATATTTTGTAATTTTGTAATTTTGTAATTTTGCGAAAATAATATGACTGATTTTGTAATTTTGTTTATTTGGAGTTTTTTTCGAATCTATTGTTATTCGTAAATTAATCTTGTTAATGGTAGATGTAAATGTTTTTAAGATCTATTGTTATCACAATATAATTTCTTTAATATACCTGTTCGAATTTTTATATGTTGGTTGTGTAGTTAATTTTTATCCCCTGTATTCTTGTTTGATAAACTGGCTTGTGGTTCGAATTTGGTGATATGCTAAGAATATATGTATGTTGACAGCATATAATGATTGGTGATACTTGTTCGAATTATGTGATGCCTGTTAGTATTTTATGTCTGTCTGACTGGAGGGCACATATTATTTTGTTGTCACATTTTAATATGAACTAAATAGATGGGATGAACAAATGCATGAACTAATGTTTTGAAAATGATAATTGAATGAATAGTTGATATCTGTTAAATGTGTAAATATAATCACACAGATTTATATTAAACTCGAATTTGTTTAGAGTAATGTTCTAAGTTGAACTGTAAATTCAAACTTTAGTTCTGACCAATTTGTTTTCAATGCATGAGAATCATCTATAAAAGGAGTTTGGTTCAACTACAAAAGGTAGAGAGAACATAAAAGGAGCTTGGTTGAACTACAAAAGGTACAGAATACTCAAGTACTTTCTTACTTTATATAAACTCTTACTTATAAATAACATAGAAGCTGACATACTGTACTATCCAAGGGTTCAAGATTCAAGTGTAACAAACTGGTGGGAACACTGTTCTGTAACATTAACAGGTAAAGATTTTACCTTAATATGTTTCTGTTTAATTATATAAGTTATAAGAAATACTTCAATATCTTTCTGTTTAACTAAATATGTTGATTGGGCTCAATACTTATATATGTTAGTGGTCATAAGCTATACTATTTATATTTTTAGAAAAAACAAAAAATAAAACTGCAATGAACTGATGCATACATCTAGATGTTAAAGTGGTTCAAATTCTGACAAAAAATTTTCTGTCGGTGCGAGGATGTTGATACAAAAAACAAACGGCTTCTACATCTCGTACCTTATTAAAGGTAATCCTTCTTCACAGAATATCATTCCTCACAGTATAAAGTGTGAAAAAAGAAATATAGGTGGGTAAATTTAAATTACCTTCTTCGATTTGATGTTTATCTCGATTTCTGCTTTCATATGGCTGTTTGTGTGTGAGATGTGGTTGTTTTCCTCCTTTGTTATCCTTCATTTTGTATCCTTCATGTGGTTGATTTTGTGTGATCCGCGTTTTTTCCACCTTTGTGATCCTCCTTCATATTGTATAGCAGCGATCCTTTGAAATGTTGCAAAAATTAATCTGCATAGTTATCAACTCGAACTACATAAATATCTGCGTTCTTTTGAATCGAGTGAAAAAAATGAGAGAGAATAGTTGTACCTTCACGCGCATAAAATTATCAAACTCTAGTTTTGAGATAATGATAATATTTATAAGAGATTTTAGGTGTTTGACAATATCTTTAGAAGTATATCCGATTTCACTGATTTTTTGGAAACTAAATATACGTTTGACTTAAATAATTCTGTACATTAAAAAAGTGAATCACTCTACGTAATTTTATAAGAGATTTTAGGTGTTTGACCATATCTTTAGAAGTATATCCGATTTCACTGATTTTTTAGAAACTAAATATATGTTTCAAATAAATAATTTTGTACATTAGAAAATTTAATCACAATACGTAATTAGTCCCAAAATCCAATCGGTAATGGCAAAATAATATTTATAAAATCATAATTCATTTTCCATGTTTTACGATGATTAAGTAGTATTCATTTGTGTGTAGTATTAATATTTATCAACTTATTGTTCGTATTCCAAAAAGTACTTTATTATCAATAGATTTTGTTATGGCTGTTTGTGTGTGAGATGTGGTTGTTTTCCTCCTTTGTTATCCTTCATTTTGTATCCTTCATGTGGTTGATTTTGTGTGTGATCCGGTTGATTTTAGGTGTTTGACAATATCTTTAGAAGTATATCCGATTTCACTGATTTTTAGAAAACTAAATATACGTTTGACTTAAATAATTCTGTACATTAGAAAAGTGAATCACTCTACGTAATTTTATAAGAGATTTTAGGTGTTTGACCATATCTGTAGAAGTATATCTGATTTCACTGATTTTTTGGAAGCTAAATATATGTTTCAAATAAATAATTTTGTACATTAGAAAATTGAATCACTCTACGTAATTAGTCCCAAAATCCAATCGGTAATGGCAAAATAATATTTATAGAATCATAATTCATTTTCCATGTTTTACGATGATTAAGTAGTATTCATTTGTGTGTAGTATTAATATTTATCAACTTATTATTCGTATTCCAAAAAGTACTTTATTATCAATAGATTTTGTTATTCGAAATAAGTAAATAAAAAATGTGACGTCAAAAATTATATATTAATTTTTTAGCGATATATTTAAATTAGAGCAGTTATTAGATTTATTTGGTACTTAATATGTACTTTTGTTGATGCACATAAGTGTACGAACTTGTTCAACTTATAAAAAAACTAAATGTGTGAAGTTTACGAATAATGAAATTAAATATATATAAATATAAACACACATAATAACATAATGGGAAAATCAACTTTATTATTAAGGATCGTAATCTCGAAAACTATATGTTTCCTAGAGACATTAACCAAGAAGCAACATAAAGTTGCAATTATTCGTTCAAAATATAAAAAACCTTATTAAACCAACCAAACAACCGAAAAATAAAACAATCCAAGCAAAAAAAACCATAATAAAATTGTTTTCTAAATCAAAACCAAAAAACTATTTATTATTTCCTTCATCAGTGGGGAGTAAGTTCCCATAGTCATCAACTTTCGCCTTGCCCTTCTTGCTCGTCACGGATTCAGCTTGTCCAGCCTCGGGGTCAATAGCAAACTCATCCATTAAATTGCGTTTTGCATTGGATGTGTCACCAACTTGCTCAACGGCTCGAACAGTCTTAAGCGGTGAAATAACTTCATCTTCATCATCGTCCTATTCAAAATAAAGTCAAGTATAAACTTCAAAGAAAATAAATTTAACTTATAAGTAAATGTATTTAATATTTAATTATAAGTATTTATACTAACCTTAGTAGCTTCCTCCCTTTGTAAAAGGGTCATAAAATCCGAGTTCTATGAAGAAAAAAGCATAATAATTAATTTTAAAATCATGTATTGTTTACGAAAGGAATATAATTAAATTGTTAAATCTAATTAAACAAACTTACATCATTCTCTACAACCCAATGGTTGTACTTCGAAACCAAATTTGAATCAAGAATAACCCTCAAAACGGAGAAAGTAGATGAATAGCCCTTTTTTTCATTATTATTTGCTTTGATTCGGACCTTGAAAAGAAAGGTTCTCCCAACCAAGTCTTCTAGATCATCCGGCAGCTCAAAAACAGTTTTATTCTACAAAAAAATAGTAATAATAATTATAGGAATTATAAATAAATTTCGAATTAAAGCATATATATATATATATTTGTTAATAAAAGTCACCTTTAGCACAGAAATTTCACGTTTTAGAAGCTCACAAGACTTTCCAATCATCCTTTCACACTCTATCCCAACACATGAAGACAGCACTTGTAGTACAATCAGCGACTCAGACAGCACTTGCAGTACAATCAGCGACTCCAAATTGAATCTTGTACCTTAAAAGAAAAAAAAAACATAAACTATCTATAATAATATGCGAAAAGACAAACATAAAAAAGGTTGTTCTAACCGTGCAATGCCACGTGTGTTAGTGCACTTGGTGCAATGCATATCACCATCTTCAATATCCATCTTGCTATTGCATCTTTTGCAAGCAAGGTACCACCAATTATCGATAATTGAGTCAATTGAGGCACACACCCAAGTATCCATATCCTTTAAATAAAAACATTAAATTTGTAAGCATAAACAAAATCGGAATGTTATTATACAAAATCGGTAATAAGTACAAAATCGGAATATTTATATTATACTACCTCTTCCGTCTCATGAATAGAATCAACAGAGCTAACAATGACATCACCATCCTCAAGTCCTTGAACTTCACTCTTGACAACCAAAGAGCTATTCGATCTAAGCTTCACATCTTTGATTTTGCTAGTTGTCATCCTACAAAAAACATATTCATTTAAAATATAATCTATTAATATATCCGTAACCATAATGTAAGAGATAAATTTAAAAATTATTTACTTATGCAGAAAATCTTGAACTTCGGGAATATCGTGAACACCAATTAAATGTGTGACATCCTTTGAAGTTGTTATTTGAACTTCACCTAATAAAGAAAAAAGTAAATGTTAACCAATACTCATAATTTAAAATTATAAATATAATTAAATAAGTGACATGTTAATTTTCGAAAAATAAAAATAAAAATAAATTACCATTCCAAGGCTTTGCACGACACATTTGTATGACCAAGACAAATGGTTGATTGGCTTCCACATAGTAATTCTCGAAAGCAATAAATTGATCCACATACGCTCCCCAAACGGTACATGTCATAGGAAGCCCACTAAAAATAATAAAATATAATAAATTTAATAAGAATTTAATAAGAAGCTATAAAAATCGAGTGCAACTTTGAACAAAATAAATCGAAACAACTAACCCCAAATCCATAAGACTAAAATTAATCATTTGGGTAGGGCCAGTCTTCACATTTTTTATTTGAATTGGATGGGTCTCCACCACCAGGCCAATAACATCTACACAAGACAAATTTAATGAGAATCTATTAATATACTTCAATTCATAACTAAAAAATATAAACATAATAAATAAGTAGATTCTTACGAATAAAATTTTTTTTATAAGACTTACCAAACAAAATTGCTTCGTCCACGTTGTCTATATCACGTAAAGTGAGAAATTCTCTAAAAGAGAATCGATAGAGTGGAAATGTGGTCTTGAGTTTAAAGAATTCGGTTCCCCTATGAAGAATGATGCGAAATTTGCCAATAGTTGATTTGTAAATGCCTATGTTACTCTCCACTTGATAATGATTGAAGGCATAAGCTTCTCCATCCTTAAGCTCGTCAATGAAATGAGATATGTGAACGGGCCTTATGAGACCGGTTATCCTATCACCCTAAAAAAAAAACGAAAATAATTACAATAATCTATTTAAAAAATTAATCACGAAAATTAGTAAAAATAGCACATTGTGACAAACCTCATTGTCATGGAAAATTAACTCAAGCACTTTCTTGTTAGAGAAATTCTCGGAAGTTCTTTGAAACATGCGAATAATACGAAGCTTGAGGAAAGGCCTATTGGATCTCTTGATATCTTTGATCAACCCCCATGTTTGAGTCATTTTCTTAAGAATGCTAATTAAAAAAACGAAAAGATGTGTTTTTTACGATGTGTTTTGTGTGCGTTGAATACAAAATAACATAATGGATTGGTCTTTTTATAGTGAAAATCACGTAATTAAATTTGTTAAGTAGATAAATATCAATATTTTTTCAGATTTAGTATCCTAAATTTAAAATTCTTTTCGAAATTATCAAGTGGTTGTATTCTATTAGGATACTATACTATTAATATATTTATTAATAGGTAATTGCAAGTATGTCCTTTATACACTTAAACGAATAAAGATATCACAATTGATAGCATAAAAATATATCTTTGCTATATTTCTCTTAGCATAAATAAATAGGGTTCGTAAAACACTTCATATCCCATTATTAGTACATATTTTATCAGTTTACGGCCACAGATTTATTACGACACCTATTTGTTAATTAGATTATTGGGAATATTATTGCATATTAAATCTTAAGTCATTTTATTATGTTAAGTAGATAAATGCGTTTATATCGTAAGATTTAAGATGATATTTGCGTGCAATTTTTTTTAATAAAAACGTATGTGCGTGGTTTTAGTGTGGAATGATTATGGAAAGATTTTTTAAGATAACTACAATTAATTGACAAAAAAATCATACCAAATCTTTAAGAGTTTACAAAAAATCAATTGTAGAAATTGATAAGTCTAAATAGTCTCAAATCCGTGCATAAAATATCCAACATCTAGGATATCTACAATTAATTGACAAAAGAATCTGACCAAATCTTTAAGAGTTTAATAACAATCGGATTGTACAAATTGATAAGTCCAAAAAGTCTTAAATCCATGAGAAAATTATCCAACGCTACATAAAGTTGTTAAGTAGATAAATGCAAACACTGTTTGAAATTTAGTTTTTATTTCGATTTGTAAAAATGCAAAGTTGTTAAGTAGATAAATGCAAACACTGTTTGAAATTTAGTTTTTATTTCGATTTGTAAAAATGCAAATTGACTATCACAAGTACTCTTATATTGGATATATGATATTTTACATAACAATAAACTTACCCTTAATTGTATCGAATAAAAAAAGTAGTAAATCTGAATATAATAAATATATTATGTTTTAATATGAAATAGGCAAATATTTATTAGGATGTTTGTTATATAAAATCTATTAACTTATATCTCAATATTTAAGACTTTCGATTGATATCAATCAAATTAAATCTCAATAATATTATTCGAAATTTATAAAAATCAGTTCTTGTTTTTTTTTTTAATTCATATCGGATAAATATTGATAAGGATGTTAGTTATATCAAATCTTTTGTATATATTTATCTCAATTATGAACCCTTTTAATTTATATCTAAATATAAATTAGTTATAAAAGTTATGTGGTAATTTAGAAGTCATTATATATCCATACTAAATTTGAAAAATCCGATATATTAATTAGTTTATTTATATTATACCAAAATTTAGTTGATAATTATAGAGATCAATGAGGTCAATTTAAATACAATAATAATTATTTAAACATGGAGTCGAATTGAATATTGAATAATAAAAGAAAGCTTGAATAATTGAATAATAAAAGAAAACATGATACTCATAAAAGTCTCAATATAAATAAATATTATAAAATCCTATAAATGCCATGGAATAAAATTATTAAACTACTCGAATTGACATTCTAACATAACAATTTCATAATTCCTAAGAAATCCATGCAATAATCTTCATAATCCCGGAACCCTCATTAGTGATGAGGAAAATTTCCATCGTACGTGAATACATTTGTCTTTGGATGAAGCACAAGGATCCATCTATGGCCGGTAGTATTGATCCTCTGATTATTGCATTCAACATTGTAGTTGTGGATTGCATAAACTTTGCCTTCTTTGAACACATCTCGATATAATCTCATGCTTCGAGAACGGATGATGCCATTTATGCGTGAACCCTAAAATAAAAATTTATACAATTAACTAAAATAATTTATATAAATATGTATGTTACATAAAACAATTGAAATGCTTACATGTTCATCATGAAACAGGATATGAATATTGTTCTTGGACTGCAGCTCGAAATTCGATTCAAAAAAGCTTACTACTCTTAATATCAAATCCGGTTGCGTGGCCCTGGTGATGTCCCCAAGTGTACCGTAGAGTCTTGCCATTTTTTTTTCCTGTGTATCTCGAAATGTCTGTATTTTTTTCTGTGCACGTTGGAGGAGATGATATGTATATAGATAGAATTTTTTTTCTGTAATTTTGGTTGTTGGGTCAGTGTATTTATATGGGCGGGATTCAAATAATTTTTGGGTTATTTTTTTGTATTAGGATAGCTACAAATAATTGGCAAAAAAATCTCACCATATCTCTAATATGCGACGGAATAGGCAGAATTAAGCAAAAAATAAGGCAACAAAAAAATTCAAATGCTAATTTGTACATGTGGGCGGGATTTTCCATTTTCGCCCAAAATTTCTACTCATTATATTTAAGATTTAGGCGGGAATTTCACTGTTTTTTTTGCTGATTTTTCACATGATTTTTTCAAAAAACTATCATTCCCTCTTTATATATTAATAGATAGTACTAGTACGACGATGCACGAGACATAGATATTAAATGAGTTATTTTCACACCCTTGTCCGTTTATGTTTAAAAAATAATAAGGTTATTATCTATTTTCTATCTCTTTTAATCAATGATTAAGTCTAAAAAACAATAGGGTTATTATAAGTTTTTTTCCACATCTTTTAACCAGCGTTGTTTTTTTAGCCAGAATATTTAATATGAGCATGTTAGGGCTAGCTTGTAAAATAATTATTATATTATCTAACTAAAACATTTATACTAATAAAAAATTAATTTTAGCATATAAATTTATAAGAGAAAGTAACAGTTTTACTTATTTTTGTTCACTACATAATATTTAATTATATAATAAAAAAGAATATTGTTAAATAGTGTAGTAGAACTGTTATAAAATTATATGAATTATTTTTTTACAATATGGATTTAATATCTTTTTATGATTTGATAATATAACTATAATATATTCTTAATGATATAATAATATGAGATACGGATTTACATAATACTATGGATTTATTCCTTAATGTTAAGATATTGAATTAGGTAATATATGATTCACTAATTTGTAATCTGTCTCTTTTTATATTGAAAATAATCATGTGATTGAGTAGAGATAACAATTATCTATAAATTCCTTCATTTAAGGAATAATTTTTAAATTGGTCCAAGTGTTGAATGCAACCCGATTTTCTCGTAACTAAAATGAGAAGAGATTTTGAATTTCAAATTTTCACTTCAAAACCACACGTAAATTTGGATGCATGAATTCAACAAAAAGTTTAAAACGATTTTATGGGATTTTGCTGCCTAAACGGATTGTATGGGATAAAACAAATAGAAGATAAGAAGGAAATTTCAATGTACAAAAACTTAAAGGCCGATTTTTTGGATTTTTTTCCTAGGTAACAGATTGTATGAGAATAGTAATAGCATTAATTGAATCGCATAACATTAATTTCAATATAAAATAATAAAATAAAATTCATGCTGGAAATAGTAATAGCATTAATTGCAGTTGACTTTTCTGAATACTATTTGTAGTAAATAAGATCCCTTTTTATATAGGTATAGATTATTATTAATATTAATAATTAATAATAACAATAATAATGAAAAAGTCACAAATTTCATGCAAAATTTACATAACTATCCAAGCTACAAAGTATTGTCATTGAGGTGTTGCAAAATTTAACATAACAATTACGATGAAAGTATCACGATGGCGATCGGCAGTGGGACTCTCGATGAAACATAAAAAAAAAATTGTAGTGGTGCAAGACTGCCCCTCTATTGTTACGAAATAAATTGTAGTCATATTCAATGTATATAGAAAATTTCATAACGAAATAAATTTCTGTCTTCAAAATATAAAAATCGAGACCCCTTTATTGTTTGTCAAAATGGCAAGACTGCCCCTCTATTGTTACGCCTCCGCCCTCAGAACTTCCGAACCCTTTCTCCAGTTGTCATCGTCGTCGATGGCAGCCGAAGCCCACACGAATCCTCACCAAAACCATCTGGAAAGTTCCCCCAAAACACTAGAAAATTACCCAGTGCCATTATCCCCACCGCCGCCACTTATATCCAAGAGCGTGGAGCTGAACAGAGCCTTAACCGCTTCTTCAAAGTCTTCCCTTTTTTCTCTCTCTAGAAAAGACGTTCTCTTCGAAGATGAGTGGCTCCTTGCCGTCAACAAGCCTCAGGGGATTTACTGCGAGACCGTTTTATCTTCAGTGCAAACTCTCCTGAATGCCGGTAAACGTTCGTACATTTGGGCATTTTGTCGTTTTCAAAAATTCCCTTTTATGTATTTGAATTTCTTCCCTTTATTTTGTTGAAATTTATTCCCATGATCATGCTGTTTTGTATTCTAAGATTTGTGGTTTAGCTTTTTTTTCTTCAAGATTGCATTTAATTTTGTACCGGAAATAAATGTTTTAATTGTGTAATCGAGTCAGAAATTGATGTTTGTGTGTCTCGAGTGTCATCTGCTGTATTGTTTAGTGGGTGAAAGAATATTATTGTGTATGTTCAAGTTGATAACTAGATAAAATGCCATGTAATCCCTTCTTTTGTTCAAAAATATGTTAATTATGCATTTCAAGAAAAGTGTTACAATGTTCAAATTGACAAAGGTTCTTGATTATTGTATGGGATTTTTCTTTGTGGGACTTATTGCAGCTCGGTATGAAATTGCTGCAATTTAGTAGTCAATTTGTTTTTAAGGATGAAGTGATTACTGATCTCTCTCTCTAACAGGAGGCAAAGAACAATTGCCGGAACTTCATCTATCCAACAGGCTTGATCGCGACACAAGTGGCGTGACACTCATAACCAAGTCGCACAAAGTGGCCGCCAAGCTTGTCAAGGCTTTTACCAATCACACAATAAAAAAAACTTACCTCGCCTTCTGTGTTGGTAAATCTCCAAAATGGGAAAATATTACCATTAAATCAGGACATGGCCGCTCGAGGCACGGAGCATGGAGAATCTATGCTTCGTCAGATGTCGGCAAGTCACTGCCTGGCGGCTCAGTTGTTCGGGATATGGAAACATTTTTCGAAGTTTTATCAATAAATGAGGAAAGTTGTGTCAAAGAGTTATCTGACTCCAAAACACACTTGGAAGAATTGACTGTGGAGGGAAGATCTGAAATGGCCCCTAATGTAGAGAGAGATGAAGTTTTGGTGAGAGCTTATCCGAAAAGTGGAAGGACCCATCAAATCCGCTTACACTGCCAGTATCTTGGGATTCCTATTAGGGGTGATGTTAAGTATGAGGGTGTCTATGAATGGAAGGGGAGAGTTTATGAAGGACACGAGCTTCATGCGGAAAGCTTGTCTTTCGAGCATCCTGTTACGGGTGAGTCTGTTTTGATTCAGGCAACTTTGCCTTTGTGGGCATCCCAAGCACTACGGCAACTGTCTTAGGGTCATTTGTTTTAAAATTGATGATGCAATTTTGGCTCTGTACTTGCATCTGAACATGTGTAAGCTTTCTTTTGCTTGCTTTGGCCATTAAGTAAGGTTGTATCACAAGTATCTTTTGCTCATGCAGCAGTCATTAATGCTACTACAGTATTTCACAATGAACAATTGCAACTGAATTATCCAATAGCCTGCATAGACTCACTGTTCACCTTGAAAAACCACAGAGAAAAAGAATGAAGAAGAAAGAAAGCCTAAAATCTTAAAATGAAGTTGCAAAATTTCATCCTACCTCAGAATAAATTGGTAAGAAAAAGGTTAAAATACTAGAACAAAAGTTCTTTTAATCAATCTGTACATGTTGTCAAGTCTGAGATCATTCTACAAGAAGGAATGGTCTTTGATCATCTTCAACACATCATCTATCCTTAATGGCTTCACCAAATGGAAATCCATCCCGGCTTTACTGGTCAAACTAATCTCTTCTGGTGCTGAGTACGAAGTTAGAGCTACAATAGGAATGTGGACTCCGTGCACTTGCTCCTCCTTTCTGATCAACCTTGTTGCTTCAAATCCACCCATCACGGGCATCTAGATCATATCAAATCAAGAAACAGATTGTAAATTGAATTCCAGTTTGCATCTTAATTTAAAGAACAAATATATAAAGTTTGTGATGTACAAAAGTAAACAGTCCATAACTTCTTCTAGTTTGACCTAAAAAAATAAATATTTTGAGCCATTCTTTTCATGAAAAGAGAAAATTGGCCAAGTATCTCATGCTCTGATCAAAACAACAAACCCTGATTTCTTCATAATATTGCTAAAAAAACATTCATTCAGAAGTAGTTTACCTTGCAATCCATGAAGATGCAATCAAAGGGAAGACCACCTTCCTCCCCATCTTTTAACCTCTGGCACACTAAATCCAGAGCTTCTTCTCCATTCTGGCAAACTTGGATATTCGCTCCAAGTTTGCCAAGGATTTTCGTCGACAGCATGCGCAGTGTGTTGTCATCTTCTACCACCAAAACATTTTTCCCTTCCAAGGGCTTCTTCTCGATACTCTCTACTTCATTCTCTGGGGCCCTCACAATTTTCACCTCGGCCGTCTGTATCTTTCTCTCCTTCGAGTAAAAATGAATATCTTCGGTTATTTGAGTCTTTCCTCCAAGAAGGCTACTACCTCCGAATTCAGGGAGCAGACCAAGAACACGATAAAGGTGGGACCCGTGCAGAGGTCTACTGAGGACATGATCACAAAGCCTCACGATCATTTTCTCATCCCCCAAAGAGCTGTTTTGCTTCACGAGATTCTCCAACCACACGAACTTACACGCCGCATTCTGAACCTCTTTTCGAAACCCGGCCAAGGCTGCCGACAGCTCGGAAACGGGACCCGCGTTTGAATCGATCACAACAAGGATTGAGCTCGGGCGTTCTTCCTTTGGGCTCGACTCGCGAAAGGTCTCGGGAGATGACATGGGGTCGGCCTTTTGCTTTATCCTCTCGAGTGCTCGGTGGAAGTCAACGGTTCTTTTGACCGCCAATACCCTTAGGCCGAAGCTACGGATCAACCGTTTGGATATTTTCCGGCGAGCCTCGCCGGCTATATAGAGAATGACGTGGGATGCATCTGACTTCGGAGGTACAGACCGAAAATGCATCCCAAAACGACTGTGAATGTCACCGTCATCGTTATTAGCATAGCTCATTATTCCTTCCTCTATATCGCCACTTGTACGGTCACGTGCAATGAGGAACACGTTGAATCTGAAGCAAGTGCCCCTTTGGCCATGCTCCTTGTTCACAATCTTTATTTCACCCCCCATTAGACGAACCTGGAAAAAAAGTTATTTTAATTTGGACATGTTTATGACCAAATCGGACAGTCGAAAAAGAAAACTCAGTGGTTACTTACTAAGGACTGAACAATTCCTAGTCCAAGACCAGTGCCTTGTCCTTGGGCTGTCTCTTTAACCTGAACAAAGTTTTCGAAAACCGACCGCTGTCTGTCTCTCGGGATTCCCTTTCCGGTATCGTCGACTTCAAACACATACTCCATGGAATCAGGATTCTCCTGAACAGTGTGAAGGCTCTCCAGATTGCTCAGGCTTCCTTTGTTCTTGTCGCACATTTTCGAGAGGCAGCTCAACACGCTCTTCCGATTTGAAGCGATTATTTCGTTCTCGATGCTCGTTTTTCTGACCGTAGCACGAACCAAGATGTGGCCTTCCGAGGTGAATTTAGTGGCATTGCTTAGTAAATTACTTAGTATTTGTTTGAGCTTTCCCTTGTCACCCACGACATTGCTGAACTTCAAGATGGAGCCATCACATGGGTCGAGCACAACATCCACGCCTTTTTTCATCCCAACTGGATAGAACATGTCAACCACGTCCTCCAGAAGCTGCGCCACGTTGAACTCCTCCTCCTCAAGCTGCATTTTCCCGGCCTCTATTTTACTTGTGTCGAGAACCGAATTTAATATACCTAAACCACATAAAAACACAAAACAATATCAATTATTGTTATTAATCAATTCATTCATTCATTCATTCTTTTTTTTTTTTTTTTT